CGAGGCCTATCAGATAATTTACACCATGACGAGAGACGAATTATCATGCAACAGGCATTAGATGCAGGTCAAAGGCACAGTCACAGGCACGGAATCACGGTGGAGGCTGTTGGACGTTGAATCTGGGCCTGTCTTGCAATCTGTAGTCGCACTTGCACGCTGCATGCTGTGCCGCTGGCCCGCTTTGCAGTCCAAGGCTTCGCAATCCCAGCTTTTTCACCATGAACAACCATCAAGATGGATGAGACCCCGTCACCCCGCGAGCAGAGACGTTCTCGACTTCGGTCATTGGCCCCTTTCGATAAGCCTCCCGATATGATATCACCGCGGGAAGCGGATCCCATTGTCTGTTCGCAAGACTGAAGAACTCCCCCGTTTATGCCTGATGGGGTTGTCTACGAATACGGATACATTGCCCGGCAAATCTGCACCTGGTCGCAGCCCTTTGCTTTTCACCTTCGAGTTTATGCACGGCAGCCACTCACGCATCCATCGGCCTCGACTTTTCTTGTTTAAATTCTTAAAGCAAGCCCCAAGATTCAGTCGCAGAGAATTTGACGCTATGCGCAGCTTCCAGACGTCCCAAAAGTGCGGAATGCGGCTCGATATCCGAATACATTTCTGGGTCACACTCGAAGTTCCTCTCAGCTTTAATGACCCCCTTTCCCAACAAGGAGACCAAGACCGTGCAAACCGTATTGAATCCCCAGTCCATACAGCCCTGCGAATACACCACTCGGCAGGCTTGTAAGCCTCCGGCGCCGACGCATCGGTTCGCGCCCCCTCCCAACAATATCAGGTACGATCCGGTTCAAATTCCTTACACTAAGCAGATTCGGAATCGGCGTCTACTCCGTATAGCGTATAGGGGCTCTTTTTAGGCGAAGAATATACGGATAGCAACCAAGGCTTTTCCCCTCACGAACCGTCAAGGTCCCCGGTCTCTAGTTGGTAGCCGCTTTCTCGTCAGCATCGGACCTTCGTCCGATCCCGCGATATTCTGGTTCCGCCGCTGCCGTTCGCCAAGGAGAAACCAATTCTCTGATCCTCATATCACCAACAGACGAGCAAGGTTCCGAAAAAGCAATATCCTGTGCGAGAGGCTTGCGCTAATAGGCCAGCCGGCCTATTCGGTTGGCTTGGTGTCAGCCCGGATGTTTTGGAATGCCCTCCCGGCGCGCCCAACTCCCAAGTCCCAACTCAATTCAGGGCTCTGCTACTCCAAAACCCAGGCACAGGGAACAAGCATTCTGCAAATGGCGCGGGCACCTCTAGCGACAACAAACATCGCGGAGAGTGGGGATGATCCTCTCAAACTCCATGTCCGGTGTATTCGTAGAGCAAACACGCAGCTTCAAGTTATCACGCATTCTCTCCGTCCGGATGTCTTCCCCGGTCTCGCTGCTCACTACAATCTAATGTCTTTACATGCCCATGGCCACGAACCAACACGCAGGATCTGCGGCGCTGCCCAGTCGGACAAACGCGATGTCTCCTTGAGAAACGACGGTCGCTCGTGACTCGATGACACCAAGTTTCCAAGGCTGCAACGAGCCATTTGACTTTCAAGATATTGGGCACAACGCCACAAGACCCGCTGCGAAATGGACCAAACTGCCGGTTATTAGTCGACGAACGACGGCCGAAGAGCAATTTGTCTTGGTGCTAGTGCCCGGCCCGTCTCTTAGCCACTGCCACCATCGATCTTTCTGCAACGACTAAACGCCACCCGCACTCCTGATATTTAGGAGAAAGTGGCAGAGGCATTTGAACATGATATCAACCACTTCCACAGCGTCTACAGCCGGAAGGACGTGGACAACATACCATGGACGACGCCACACCAAAGTCTCTTCGCCGGCCTAGGTCAAGCCATACCAAGTATAGTAACGGTCGGCCCCCGTTCTCATAGTAAAGCGGAGCATATGCAGCTCTATCACAACCGTTTGTGACAAGCCCCAGGGAACGCACAATTGCTTGACGTGAGCAACTTCAATGCAGCTGCAGGGAATTTAATCTTCCGCACACAAATGACATGCGTTTCTATGCAATAGCAGACCAGGTCTCTCGTAAAGCGCGAAATCATAAGGGTAGGAAACAGGATCGGTATAATTGCAAGGTTGTAGTTTGTGCAACCGTCGAACACTGAGTAAAACTCAATCCAGCGTTCCAGACTCACAGCAAGTCAGCAAATCTAGACCCTCGACGAATGAGAGTTGAGGATTCACTGCCGTCACGATTAAGAAGAGACCACCGTTCATTCAAATCCGCCTAGGAACCATGAGGAGGCACAAGAGGCTGCGATCGCGACACATATTCGCTCTCGCCCCATCACTTTACACAGTAGCATCACCTCGCACCCGCGTCATACGAGGCAGTCAAAAACTTTGCGCAAAAGATGGACAGGTCATTTCCCGTGGCTTCCTAAAGCAGCCTCATCTCTTGGCCAACCATGTTCGCCCCCATCAGTGATCCATCCCAATTTCTTCTGCCATAATATCACCTGGCCGGGAATTTCTCACATTGTTTCTGCTATTTTGGACACTTCTGCCACGTGGACAAGGCAATCCGCAACACATCGTCGTCTGGCTATCCATCCGGACTAACTAATCGTACTGGACATTTAGATTGCTCAAATCGAAAGCATGGGGAACCGAATGCCGCGTGCATCTGCGGGATGGTAGACGTTTTCTGCCACGACCAAGATTTCCCCTTGATCCATCATCTGAGCAGCCGCGAACGCCGTCAGTGCGCGCGTATTTGGCAACTCAGTCCGCCGCTGCCCCTGGTCCTTTCGAAGAGCCCCGCTTGACGGCAAATATCCGGGGCCGGCGAGGTCGGCGTGTTGCACTGCGATATTACGACAGTGCCAAAAGACATGCCTCTATGGGTTCCATCGTCGGCGAAGCACACCGAGATGAACCAAGCCGTGGTGCCCTTCCCATATGATACACATACCAGAACAGGTGCCCAATCCTCGGCGTCGCTGAGCCACTTGACGACTAGGGCATCCTTTGAAACAGCAGCGAATATCGGTTGGGTATAGGCGAGCGACGATAGGTGCGTGACGGCCAACAGGGTGGCGAGCCCTGGCTCATGGCCATCACGCGAAGGCTGAATGAGCTACCGCGACGATGGGTAGCCAGGATAAAAAAAAAAGTCCTTCGACGAGCCTGTTTTCATGATAGGGCGGTGATGCCCGAATTTCCGAGAGCCGTGGGTCAAACATGTTCATCGGGTCGCGAGCTTTGTGCTGGTGCTTGATGTCCAAGAAGAGCGTTCGGTCTCGGGCTTTAGTACTGACTCACACACGGCTGCGCGGTCAAAGGGGTTGAATCCGTGTTCCGCGTTGCCGTCTAAAGGACGAGCCGAGGTCTCGGCGGCTATTTGTTCTCGTTCATGGCTATTCCAGGCGGCAATGGCACGAGGCAAGAGAATGCAGTTCCACCGGTGAGCTTGATAAACAAGATCACGAGGAAGAGCGATGTCCCTGTCTGTTAAGCTAGTTTAGTCCTGAGCTGACACTATTCCGGCTTACACGCTACGAGACTGACTTGAAGACATATCCTCGCCGTTGCCCATATTGTTTGAAGGCTGCGTATTTCGACCACAGCGAGCGTATTGCCCTATACCTGGCTAAAACAAACCGTGGCATATCCGTTTGGAGTAGCTTGACTCCTCGTGAACCAGGAGTTGAGCATGATTTCGTGTTCCATAATCAGGCATTGAACGTGAACTTCGGTCTATAGCTGTCAACACCCCTTCTCATGGATTCCGCCCTGTTCGCTCGTCATCCACTTACCGTCACCTTTCGTCTTTCGGTGCAACACAATCTCCTTACTTACTCATGCTCCCCCCTTTTTTGGGCGCGCAGTCATCTCTTGAGTGCCAAGTAATTTGAAGAAACGAAAACGACTAAGAATGATAAGTAAGACCCAGATCAAACGAGGCGCAGGAGCCGAGGACCTGGCTCCTGGAGATGAGGCTGTCATTTGCCACACTCGCACGCAGACCTGAACCACACGATCCACTTGTTTCCGACGTCATTGCCGATGTGAAACAAGGCTTTTGAAGACACGAAATGGGGGGAGAGGGTAGACGATATATGTTTCGTCCCCCCCTGAGGACTTTCGGAGGGAGGTCGTGTGGGCAAGGCAAGGGTTTTGTGCCAAACCGAGATTGGGGCTGCCGGGATAGTTGAGATTATTCCCGATTACACGCGCGCGCAGTTGGATTCTGTGAATATCTTTGCTAATACAGATTATCCGTATGGTTTTTCGGATACGCCATGTTGGAGGTGATAGTTGCGTTCGCGTGATCCAAGGCAGTGATCGCTTCCTGGTGTGCGGGGTTGGATTGCCTGGATTGGAACGCGTTCTCGTCGTCGAGCTGTTCCGTATCCGACTTCCCAATACGAAGTCAAGAGCAAGGCTGTGAGGCAAGTAGTGGACATACTGCTACTGTTCATGGTTCAATTCAATCCTTCTCCTTGTTTGTGACGGAGGCTCAGCATCAACCAATGTCTGAGATATAAGCACAGCGGGCGAGCGTTCGGAAGATGGCAGAGTTGACGCAGTCAACGGGACCAAGCTGCATGGATATGCACGACAGTTTATTCTTGATAGAATTTACGGACGCCTTTTGGCGTCTGATCTCTCATTTCCCAGCCTGGAGGCTCTCGTTCACGAAGGTTAATAATGGGTGTAATCGATGATATCATTCCCTTGGCTTGTTTAGATTACTGTTGATGAGGAACAAATGCAGCCCTCTAATGTCTTCAGTGCATCTCAGATTACTCAACAGATGGTATGGAAGATCACAAGGTTCCTGAGCACATGTTATTTCAGGTCTGTCTGACATTCCCCGCCGCCCGGGCTGCCCGAGCGGGACGTTGTCTTACCGCGGCCCCTCCCGGGTCCGAGGAACAGGCGGGGTTCGGGATGGATCAGTCAGCAATCCGACCCCGCCTCGAAGGTTGATAACACACGACTGCCCTCTACCCCTTTATATTACCACTGCTTGCCTTTTTTCACAGTTTGCTCAACTGTATTCACTCCAAGCTTGAGTATTTATAGCTTTATACATTTTCAGTAAAGATCTCAGCAGACACAAGAGGGAAGTTTAAACTAAAACAACCCCCCAACATCCAAAACTCCCGCGTGAAAAAGAGAGAAAACCATGTCTGGCATAGCAGGCGACCTCCCCAACATCAAAGCAGAGAACCTCCGCGACCTCAAAGCCCTGACGTTCGACGTCTTCGGCACAGTCGTAGACTGGCGGTCCTCGGTGGTGGACGAACTCACCTCCCGCGCAAAGACCAAGCTCGCCTCCTTCTCCTCCTCATCCTCCTCCGACGACACCGAGAACAAACTAGAAAAACTCGCAACCACAAACTGGCCCGCCTTTGCCCAAGAATGGCGAATCTCCTACATGCGCTTCACGCGCGGCTACGTACCCGGCCAAACACCCTGGAAAGACATTGACGCACACCACCACGACAGCCTCGTCGAGCTTTTGCGCGGATGGGGGTTGGCGGGCGTATACTCCGCCACCGAAATCCGCGAGCTGAGTCTCGTGTGGCACCGCCTCCGGCCGTGGGCGGACTCCGTGGAGGGTTTGCGCAGGTTGGGCGGGAAATTCGTGACCTCGACGCTGAGTAATGGGAACAGGACGCTGTTGGGGGATTTGGATACCTTTGGCGGGCTTGGGTTCAGGAAGATTTTGTCGGCGGAGGATTGGAGGGCGTATAAGCCTAATGAGGTGGTGTATGATGGCGCGGTGGAGGTATTGGTTGGCGGTGGCGGTGGTGGTGGGAAGGCGAGGGAGGTTGCGATGGTGGCGGCGCATTTGGGGGATTTGATGGCTGCTAGGGGACGGGGGATGAGAACTATTTATGTTGAGAGGCCGGAGGAGGAGGACTGGGAGGTTGGGAGTGAGAGGTATGAGGATGCCAAGGGGTGGGTTGATGTTTGGGTTAAGGAGGGGGAGGGTGGGTTTGAGGAGGTTACGAGGCGGTTGGGGGCTTGAGGGATGAACTAGGTTGGACATGATGAGGTTCAAAGTCATGAGATGGTTTTGAACTGTGTGAAGAAGCGTACTTTGAAGCGATTTGGTTATTGTGGCGCAGAGGGCTCAGATTAGGCTCACGGCACACGTAGCATACATCATGAGGGAGTGAACGTGGTAGTCGGTGATGAAGATGCTGGAATAGAGGTAATATAAGTATTGTTCCGAACAGTATCCATGCAAAAATGTAGATCAGCTTGCTGGCGACACCGCAGGACTTCAGGCCCTTGAAGAAACTTTGAAATAGGACCTGGTTTCCGGAAGAAGTGACCACTGGCCAAGAAACTCATATCCATTGTATGTTGTTGACACCAATATTTGGATACAGCAGCAACGATGGAGTTACTTTCTTATGGAAGACACCAGAAAGTGCAAGACTCGCTATCGTTCATTTCCTGATATTCCTTCAATTGGTTATCCACGGCGTACTCCCATGGCCATAGACTGTCAAGCACAGATTCGAGTTGTTCTTCATGCTCTTGAACGTAAAATGAGATGTAGCCTTGGAGAATCCTGTCTTCACCAAATCGCCTTCCCTTCTGACATCCAATCTCTTTTCATAGTATAAATATCTCGCGATCAGTAGTATGCTGAACAATCAGATTACCGGTTGTCACTCCGTGCCAAATCTGGGAGATGCAGACGGGCACCTGTATGCTCAACAAGCATATAATCAATCGAACTGCCATCAAATATTTTAGACTTGCTCGGTTAGTTTGGCACCGTCGAGTTTCAAAGACTACAAATGGTACCGTTGGTTTGAGGAAGTAGCGAGGGTGAAATGTGTCCTAAAACCTGGCAGACACGTCTTCAGTAGAATTGATCACCACACAATTTGGCCTCTCTCGCCTACTCTGACTAGCAAGACTTGATAAGAGGAAAAGACAACTTAAGATCCCCTACACCACCCGTTGATGTACTATCACTGAGGAGTATATATATAGCGGCGGTGAAGCTGCTTCTCGATATGTACGTCGCCAAACGTCAAAGCGCGACGACGCAGGCGAGAGGCGTTCGCTGCCTCCCTTCCATAGCTCCCATACCATAACACAGCGTCCGTGGTATTAGATTGAGCTGCCCGTCAGCCTTCCTTCCACATCTACAACTGCCCGCATATCGAAAAGGTCCTGACATCTCCATGCGCCTTTCTCCGCCGGAGGTATATTCATATCGATTGCATCAGGGACGAATGAAGGGAAGGTGGGCGTGGGAAATGGTAATAGACAGGTTTAACCATCGGAAGGATCAGTAGTAGCCAGTCGTACAACATGAGCAGATACTGTGGTCGTGTTCACTGGTAGGGCATTTTCGCCGACTGTAGTGTTACATCCCAACACCGCACTTACTACCAGAATGCCAATCTATACTAGAACTCGGACAATGTGTCGGGATCAGTGAAAACTACTTGCATCAGTTACTCAGCCGCCTAGCATTCGGGAAATATCAGTTTACCATCAAAGATTTTCCCTTACGCACACTCAAAAGAGAGAGCCTTGTCACCCACTTGGAAAGCTTGACCCTAATATACCATCCCACCATCACATCCGCTCTCCCCAAGACCTCTTCGCTCTTAGCCGCAGGGGGGAAGAACCAATTATCCGTACCTGCTTCCTGCGACCTTCCTGCAGGAACCCCCTTTTCTCGTATGATTCTTTCTTGGTGGACTTGGTCCCAATGTCTCACAGCCATGGCAGAAGGAAACAAACAAACTCCTCGTAAACGTCAACGTCAAGTAGTGAGACCAGGGGTAACAAATACGAAGAAAGCGGCAGATCTGCAGAGCTGCATACACACATTCGAGAAGAGCTGCCCTGCCTTGCCCAACGACACGGCGTGCCCGAACATGGAGTGTAAGGCTGTACGCCTTACGTCCGAGAGAGAGAGATAGAGAAGTCAAAAATAGGGCAGAGACGTGAGAGCCAAGCAAGAGCTCGTGTGGAGAAGCGCGGACAAAGACGAATGAGAGGCCAGGTAGATGTCATCAATGGCCATGCTTTACGGGCGTAAACCAGCCAACGTCTGATGAATCGTCCCGTCCCCGTAAACGTGGGCAAGCTGCCTAATAAGCTGCGCATCCATCGCGGCAAACTGTCAATATACCTAGAAAGAAAGCAATTACGGACCAGCAGCACCCTTGGTTGTGTAACATTTCCAGATGCTAATTCCAACCTCCCCCCAGCCACGACGATATTCGACTTGGCCTCATCTCCGTCTTCCAGCAACAACCACCTACCTTGGTCCAAAGGCGATCGGGTCACCGCCGCCCATGGAACGTATACCACATACTCGTGAAGAGGTATAAAATATACGCGATGTAAGATCGCGCCGCATCGATGGCAACACACACACACTCACGTAGGCGGTCATCTCCCCGAGATGTTGTCGTTCTCTAGTTCGGAGGCCCGGGCGTCCGGGAGACCACCCCCGTGCACCGCGGGTGGTGGGGAGCGGGGGTGGGGTGGGTAGCCGTCTGGTGCTCGGATGGCGACTCTACACGGAGGAGAGGACCCGAATCGGACCTCGAGCGCCGGGGAATGGGGAACGATCAAATTTCCCAGCTTTTCTCAGCTTTTCCAGCGTTCAAGCTCATCGCATCCCACACTACCCCCCCCCCCCCCGGCTCAAATCGTGATATCTCGATTTCTGATCCTAACGTCCAATCTGAGGTGGTATCTTCTCGTACCATCTTCGGGGTGTTTGGTTTGTCTCCATCAGTGGGAGGTTATCCCCAGCAGACAAGGTATGGCATGACTGTTGGATGGAGATGGAGACTGGCCTGGACCACTAGACTGTGATACGACTCTTGGGAAATGATTCCACCGACTCCGTAAATAGGCTCATCAACCCCCGACTACGTCACTTGGGTGGGTAGGGCGTTATAACATCTCTCTCTCTCTCTCTCTCTTCTCTATAGCTTTGCAAGGAAGATTGTTAAACTGCTATATTGACGTCCACTTGCCTAGTACCATCCAAATAGAAGCAATACACACCATGAATTCCGATGTAACAACACTAGTACCAGTGCGAAGTTCACGAGTAGGTTTTGGGGGGGGGGGCTTGGAAAGCGGTGGGATGCCAATTACTACCATCTCCATTCTGCCTGTGCAGCAAAGCTGTTCCCTAGCCTAACCACCTCACCCCTCTCCCTCTCCTGAGCTCGTTTCTCTAACAAACCTCTGGGACTATCTCTCTCTTTCTGTCTCCAAAAGTTAATGCACCTTGAGGATTTAGTTGACATCAGTAGAGTGGTAGTGTGGCTTTACTCGCACATTACGGATACCATAATAAACATCTGAATGGTCGGTTCTCCATCAAATCTCGGCAGTTGAAGCCTTGAAAGGCCTTGGCAGGGCCAAAACGAAAGACAAAAAAAAGTATATCCGAAACATGGGAAGAACGTGGCTATACAAACCCCCTTCATCTCCCAAATAGAAGTTGCGCAGTACCGCGTTGTTGTCATGTATGTCATTATGCCTATTGTTTTGCAAATCCATTGGGCGGGTTTCGTCATGAGGTTCGCGGCTGAAAGGCGGTTGTTTTCCTTATTCTTGTCTCGTCATTTCTTTTTTCTAGCCGTTCCCCCCCACCCCATGCGGCCCTCCTCCGCGGGCCGTTACACGGGCACAGCCGAGCCATCGCCATGCTAGGTCAGGGGGTTAGCTCTGTGACGCTTTCTCAGCCGTAGCTCTCATCTTGAACTCGTGTTTCGGATTGAGATGTTGGGCTTGGGAAGGGGAACAGGTAATTTCGATCTCATTTGGGTGCGGAAGGAAATTGAAGGATATGAGAGTATTACGTTGTTGAAAGCATTTACCGGCAGCGCACAAGGCGTGAATATAGTTGGGAGGGCGAAATTGTGACAACCTGTATTCCAAAGTAAGACAGATTAGATGCTTAACCTTATTGTTATGCCGCGAGATGGTCTTGTAAGTCTTCTAGTGCGCATTTTGGTGTTTCGAGGCCTTTACTTCCGGTCAATGTCGATCATCCCAAGACCGTCCGGTAATATATAGCACCGGATTCAGTGCTCAACTTCAAGCATCCCCTGATTCGGGGAGACCAGCACTTGTTTCCGGGTGATAGATTTTGGGTCCAGGGCGAGCTCATTTTGCCGCCTGTGTTTCAATATAGCGACCTGCCATCCACGGCTGAGAATTCCCTCCGCGCCGCCTCGGGTGACGACTGACGAATTCACCACAACGAGGCAGGCAGAGCAGCGCTTCTGACAAATGCATGCCTGTATTTCTTTGGAACCCTCTGTCCGAGCTAAATTGTGAGCCACGGTAGACTCACACTTTGGAAAAGGTTTCGAAAACAAACAACCTTGTTGCTTACTCTGCATAAATGAAGGGTATTAAGCCGGGCCGGGAGGCCGTCCCAGACTTTCATTTCCAAGGGCCTCGAGAACCTTCACTCTTGTGAACATCATCGTAGACACGTCACAAAGCTGTTCATACGAATCGTAAGGACGGCGAACTTTTCGTCTTTTTCATAGGGTTTGCCAGTTGTTGAACATCTGGTTCCCGAGGCCAGGTTTGTTTGGATCGACCGTCTCCCGCCAACATTTGGCAATGGATATATATTTGGATCACGACGAGTGTACGTCGAGGACGCATTGAAGGGCGGGGGGAGTTATCCGATTGGATGACTCCAACTTCCACGTCGTGTTTGCTTTCTATCCGGGCGTGGGGGACAGATAGCGGGAATCGAGGCGTCTCGTCACTCCCTATCATGCAGTGTGACGGCACAGACAAAGCTGTGGACAGCCCATTTCCTGTGCAATTCGGGAGTCCGGGAGGTCACTATTTTTGATTTAGCCCAAGTGAATCAATGGCACGGTGAGAAGCGGGATTGATGAAAAAACTTAGGCTAGAAAAGCTGTAGCCTTCTCAAGGTTCCCGCTGTCATTTTCGCTACTGAAGCTGGAGCGTTTGGCAACTTCGTTCCGTCTCATTAGAATAATGGTAGTAGAGAAATCTACGGCGCCGAAACTATTGGCTTAGCACTCAATTTTGTGAGTTCCAGCGGTATCAAACTGACCAGACCCTCCGGCTTATGACCGTTGAAATCCAAAACAATTACCTAGACATGAGTGGTTCGGTCATTAGAAGTGACATCGTACCTGTCTTTGAATGTGACGGAAGCCGAGGAAAAAGCAAGTTGACACAGGGGGCGCGAAAAAGCAATCAGTTTGTCGGCTTGGCGCTGGCCTGGTTCGGTTCTGGCCATTGGTTCTCTCAAATATTGACCGTTGGCCACTCCGGTCAACTTGACGACCAGACTCCGAGGGTGTCCCACCAGAGAAGCACATCACGAGAACGGAGTCTTCGTACTCTTGTCTACCGGAACGGCAAAGACTGTCGACAACGGGATTACAAAGACCGAATGAGCCCCGGATAAAAGCTGGGCCAATGCAGGTTGAACGGGGCCGTGTTGCCGCAGCCGGGAACTAACATGGTGCGGCATGCTCAATATTTTGTTTCGGAAGGGAAGAAAGCGCGAGAACCTCATGCGAGCGAGCCTCTTGCGGAGCCCGCCCCGGAAGACTGGGTCTGGCACGAGGCCGGTGAGACAGCGGTTCGGCAGAGAGACGAGTTGAGACATGACTGCTTGCGTTGTATACGCTACCCTATAACCGTAGCACGTCGTTCCATGTACGTACGGCCGAAACCGAAGATTGTGCCACGAACAATCTTGGAAGCCGTCATCGAAATAGGATAGGTAGGTACTTGAACTCCAACGTGATTATTCTTCCTTGCACATACTGCTGGCCGTCTATATTAGGCGGTCGAACACGGCCACAGTCACAATGGCTAGATGACGTCGAGGCAACTGGTCCGGGCGTCTCGTCTCGTGATGTTGATATGCTGCGGAAGCTATTTGGCGAGCACCAGAGATGACCCTGTTTGCAGGGCGGGCCGCGGTCACCGGGTCGCGAGAATGGGCCGGATGAGCATATGCAGCTGTTGCAAGGGAGAGCAAGCATGAGGAAAGTTTTTTTTCAATTCGTCTCCCCTCTGTCCCGATTCTCTTTGCTGAATCAATAAAAATCCGACAACCAACCACCACCGAGAGAGGTTCGGGGGTGGCTCGGGCAAGGTGAAAACGGCGGTTTAGAAGAGATGGAGGGGTCGAAAGGCCGAACGGTGGTTGGAGAATGTGGAGGGTAGTCATTGGTGGGTACCGTCTGGATACCTCCGATTGGGCGAGGCGGCCGGCATCGAGTGGGGTGTCGTCCCGGTACTGCCTTAGCGGCTCCCAATCGTCATCCCATGTCTGGATTTTACGCAGTAGCTAATGCCTCAGGCGCAAGGAGATAGAGTCCACAGAGAGTGGCAGACAAGCACAAGGCACGAACTGTACTCCGTACGAACGTGGACCTCCCGACCCCAGCCGTTCTGGCAGGCATCACAGCATCTGAAGGTTCGGTCAGCACCTTGCTGGGCGAGGGATCCGACTTGGTGATGGCCCTGATGGCCCTGATGGCCCATGGGCGGATGGTCTGTGAGGTGCATGCATTACTAGTGTCCATTGTGGGCATCGGTGGGCAACTTTTGGAGAGCCACATATGAATTGCCCAGTAGGAACTCGGGTCCAGGGCCAGGTTTTCAACAGTGGCATGAGCGGTGCGAGTCTGCTGCTGCGAGCGAATGGTCAGCACAGCTAGAGGTCGCAGGACTACTCGCAGGCACGGTTTTTTTCTTCTCTTCCTTCTCTCTTCTCCGGCATGTGCATGAACGGGAGCACGCTTGTACGTCTCCAATATGCCACCTGTGCTGCGGGAGTTCGTACGCCGCCGGCTTCGGTTGCTTCAGATGCCTGTGACTCAACCAATACACCTTGCCGTGACTGAGACTTCGCTGTTGATGATGCTTGATAACGCGTCTTTTAATACACCGTCGGCATGAACTACTAAGCTTAGGTCGGTAGCTTGTGGCCAACGAGCTGACGGGACCAGGCACATAAAGCTGGGGTAGCTACCCTAAGTATCGGTAGAGAGCTAGGGTCAGTAGGTTAGATCACATCATCAGGCAATTAATGAAGCGATTTGTGGTGAAGAAATGGTGGTTTGGAGGGACCAGGCTGGCCTGGATCTCGGTCTAAGAAAGGGTTGATCTCTTCCAATCATTGTCAATGGCATGTTTGCCCTGCTGGTCCTAATTTGAGGTCCAGCTCCGTGTCCAGGCCCGGGACAGCTCTTACCTCCCTCGTCGTCTACTGACCACTAGTCGATTGACCTTTGACTAGGGCGGGTCGGATACAGATACCAGACCGGGGCAAGCAAGTCTATGGTCCGGACGGTAAAGCTTGAGCTGGATTTTTGCGATAGTGTGCGTTCGTACGGAGTAGCTGCAGCTGCCAGGCATGTCCAGCAGACCGCAAATACTAGGCAGGCACAACGAACATGGCTTGACTTTTCTATTGTTGGTCGCATGGGCTCTGCCGGGGAGTGAAGCCGCTCAGCGGCAGCAATGCGAAGATGACCGCCTAGGTGACCTAGTGGGCCACCTGGAGTTACGAGATGAAAGCATCGGGTGCAGTGTTCAGCTTGTACGGTGTGCCGAATGGAATGTGGGAGGGCAAGAAAAGCCCCTTGGCGAACATGAATCGAAATACAAGAGACGCAAATGTAAAGTCTGCCGTTGGAGAGCTGACCAGAATTGGACCAGGTATATTCGTATCGGTGTCTACCGTTCGGACGGGATAGCCTCCGCCACGACGGTGTACCCACCTCATTCGCGAGGAAAAGAACGAACGGTGGCATACATCTGCCTCGGTCAACTGGGGTAGGACCAACTTTGTTTTTCTGTGCCACAAGATTCCGTGTCGGCTTTCGATGATGGCACCGGCCAGGACAAGATAGGACGAGCGAGTCCAGGGCGGAGGACAACCAATTTTGGAGAAGCTACAGTGTCCATCAGTAGAGAAGGGGGACAATGAAGATGTACAGTACCTTTAAAAGTTAAGGAGGGAAAAAATGGTGTCTGGCTTGCCTGGCCCGTGAGTGGCATGTGTGAGTGGGCGGGGCGTGAGCGGGAAGATGGGCTGCTGCGTCAGCGCGGGCTGTCAATTGGACCCAAGACCAGCCGGTTCGTTCGTTAGGACAGCCGCGCTAATGTTGGGAGGAGGAAACATGCAGCTCGCAACCCGCAGCTGCAATCGGAGCCCAAGCCGGCGTGGTGTCGTTGCAGTCCTGGCCAGACAAACGTCACCTTGCACAGGGCAGGGAACCCCGTGGGCCGTACCCGTAGCTCGACTCTTGAGAGCTTCTCTCCATCGACATGGTATCATGGATTCGTAAGGGTATGGAGGAAGGTATCTGACCGCGGCGAATGGAGGGTAGGGCGGCTGTGGGCGGTTGGCGTGTGTTCCCGTATCCGCCGAGTCATCGTCCTCGTCCACGGCATACGGACGGGAAAATCTTAAATGCACCCATCCGTTGCTAGGCCTCGCCGTCTTCTGTGTCGCGAGGCTTGTTTGCCCAGGGCACGCGGCTGGGTACCCATCTCCATAGCCGTCTGTACTCCATTTCAACGTCCAGGTTAAAGGCGGGCTCGCAGCCTCGTACTTGATTCAAGAACCTAGTGCTAGGTAGGTACATGTATCGTATCCGCAGCTTGGAGACGCTCGTTGTGGCTGTGGCAGATGCTTGGTTAATACCTAGTACTTTACCTCATGGAACTGTTTCCCCTCCAGCGTCACCGGGTACATCAGCCACTTGGTTTGGAGGCGGCCGTCCGGTTTATGGTTTGCGGTTTACGGTTTACCGTCGTGGTTTCAAGCTCGCAGAAAATCCAACGCATACGCCTTGTTATCAATCTGTGACGTGATGTTGGGTACTGTGTACCTTCTTATTGGGGTGAAGTGCGTGCTTGGAGGAACTGGCCAGAAATGGGTGCTAGGAGACAAAAGCGTAGGAATGGTAGGTACGGAGTGAAGCACCTTCCTCTACTAAGGTAAGACACCTTACCTAAGGTAGGTGTCCGCACCTTTCTTATGGATACCCTTTGAACAACGGAATGTTGCTTCCTTCCATTCTCATGATTGAGATTGGGGTACGTACCGGTACGGTACTGCTCGGGAGTGTCATTGCAGCCTGTCTGCATTTTGTCTGCATCCTGAGGTGTTATTCACAAGCAACCCGTTCCTTCTTTCCAAATGGAATGCGACCTGGAACCATTCGCTACCTGCCGCGCTTGAACTCGGCGAATCAGAAAATTTATCAATTAAGAAGGAGCAGGGGAGGAGGGGAAAAGGAAGGCACCACATCACCAAACACAGATAGGGTAAGGAAATTGACAATTGCATTGATACGCATCTCTGGCATCATGATCAGAGAATCACGAGAAGAAGAAAGGCATACTGCATTGACACAGTCGGTAGGGTTGCCCAAACAATGCCTGACGAATCTGTCTCGCTACATCCTCCCAGGTTGTTGTTGTTTTGGACGAGGCGGTTGCAACTTGCTGGTGGTTGCTGATTGCTATATCAGGTGCGGATACGTCGCCGCATTCCAGGTCCATCGCTTTCGTGCTGCGTATCCGTTCAAACTGTTCCTGCTATTTTGTACCTTCCTGACGTTACCTTACTCACCTTAATCAAATTCTATCCGTACGTGGTTCGTACATTTCCTGCGAAAGACATCCCAAACCGGCCAACACCATCCACTATCCGCTCGCCGGTTCACGGCTTGAGAATTGGAATCTTTTTGCCCGCTGATTCATTCCTTTTCCCCCCCTCACCTTACGTCTCTGGAGAGAAACGCTAACGGTACGTTTACGCATCCATCTCACCTTTGCAATCCCTCCCCCTCCCCCTCGTGTGCTGGACCGAGCGCATGCCAGACAGCGTCTTGCTGGTCTCCCGTCGCTGGCTTCATCCTTGATCAATGCCCCTCCTACCCCGTTGATTGCCCTGCTGCCTCGCCTTTCCCCCTCCAGTCGTCCATACAGCTTAATCCACTTTCGTCAGCGCCTTCTCCTCAATCGGCCCAGCCTGTCCCTTCGCCAATCTGTGGTCACTGGTCACTAGAGGTGTAGGTACCAGTGTGGTCTATCTGTATCCTATCGTCGGATACTGGAATCTCCCTACTGCAAGTCGAGGCATCATTGGAACAGGAAAAGGAGCGAGAGAAAGACATCATCATATCTCCATACCGGGATGGCTCGTGATACTGACTTGGAGCTAACTTGGAGATTTGCCCAGTCGCCGTCATTTGATTCGCTTGAATCAGCATTCTCCAACTCCGACCGACGTCTCACGACGAACCGAGCCGACCAGAGCTTGCCCTTGTCCGCATCTCGGAGGGACGACGACGCTGCCGGCATACCGTGACAATCGCCAATCCATTATCCACTGCCAAATCCCGACCCTCGTCTTGCGGATTGCGGATTGCGGATTGCGGCTTGCCTCGCCCTCAACATCCCCATATCCTTACTTGGACCTACCTTACCTCTGCGCAAGGAACCAGCCGCGACTAAACGATTCATCGAGGTCGGACCACTACTTCGTACACTACCGTCTTGCGATAGCGTACAAACATCCATACCTACACTAGGTACTCTATCATCCTCGCACCATACACCAACAAAGGTACGTTCTCCGACGCGACGCCAGCACCAACAATCCAGGTACCCTGCCCTGTCCTGCCTTACCTTACCTCACCTTACTGCATGCGTACGCGACCAAGTACTACGCTCCTTCGAGAATACGTACCGTGTTGCACCGCACCGCAAACCTCGCCTGCTTCTGTCTGCTTTGCGCCGCTGGTGCTGCTGCCGCTGCCGCTGCCGCCGTCGTCGCTGTTACCAACAAACCCCAACCGGCCGGTGGAATTGGGACTGCTTGCTGTGGCTCGCTCGCTCGCTCGTCTCCAACCCGTCCCTGCACCCCTGTCCCCTTGTCGACCCCCCCTCCCACTCCCACTCCCACTCTCGCTGCCACTCAGTCCCCTTCCCCGTCCCATCCCGGCCAGCCCAAGTCACGGCGGATACAGAGCTGGGTGGCTCGGGTTGGCGCGTGGAGGTAACGAGGGTTGACAGCCTCTCAGGAGAAGGGCGGGCTAGCCAACAGTCGGCTGTGCGCCTCCGCTCCGCTTCGCCTTTATCCCGGTATCATCCTCCTCCCTAACCCAAGCATCTAACACAAGCCCAGGTCCCAAGCTAGACCCGCCAGTCCAGTCAGTGTCTGTCATTTCTCCACACCTTTTGCCCATCCGAGAAGACGAAGAAGACGACAAGACGAGACGAGACGAAGGAGAGAAAAAGAAAAGCAAACCAAACCAGCCCGAGGGTCAGACAGGAGGTCATACGGCCTGTGTGCGCGCAATCATCCTGTACTCGTACATACATACCTGAGGTGGCCTACCTACCTCCTCTTGCACCAAGCCCGCCCGCACCGATTCGCATCCGCAGCGCGACCGTGTGCCAACCTGTCAGTTGCCAGTTGCCGGTTCAGCCCAGCCTACCTTAGCCCCAGCCAGGCCAAGGCAGAGAGAGAGACGAAGAGGAGGGTGAGCGAGAGAAAGAGAGCAGGGACAGCCGGCATCCACCGCGAGCAACCCCTCCCCAGTCACAGTGCTGCGTTGGTGCTTGCTGCTGCCGCCGCTACTGATACTACCGCTGTCGCTGCTGCTACGTACTAACTGGCTTGTCGGGTCCAGTCCGGTCGATCCAATCCACCAGTCTGCTGAGGAGAGAGTCCACTGTCCACGTCCAGGGCTCGGGCTCCAAAATCCAACAAGATTTGGGCTCCTACCTTGCTCCCCAACTTCCTGCGGCCACCACCAGTCCACCACCACAACCACCACCACCTTTCGGCCTCCACTACCTACCACTCGCTGCCACCAACCTTGCCTACCTTACCTACCTGTCTTACCTTTTTTTTTTCTTACCTTGCCTATTCTATCATCGATTCTCGACTGGCGTTTGTCGTCTTTTCCTCCACCACCACCACCTTCACACAACCACCGACGAACCATCACCACCCACTTCGCGTTCCGCCCCCCGCGAACCGCCCCTCTACCTCTGCTTCGCTTTGACTTTCGCTACTCATCATCAATCGAGCGGCCTAATTCAACGACACAGATTCGACTTCTTTTCATCGTTCTTCGCCTCCGATAGCTGCCCATCATGGCAGGAAAAATGGTGCTGTACAAGCTGGTGGTCCTGGGCGACGGCGGCGTGGGGAAGACCGCTTTGACAATCCAGCTTTGCCTGCAACACTTCGTGGAAACGGTAAGTCGCCACTCCCATTCATTCCGTCTCGCTTCGCATCGTCACTTTCTCTTCGGTCGGTCGTTGAGTCCTTCGACCCTTCCCCAAAATCCATCCTTTCCCCGCTGCTATCGCCGCCAAGAGCCGCCTGCTGACCGTGCTTTCTACCGAAAACAGTATGACCCCACGATCGAAGATTCGTATCGCAAGCAAGTCGTCATTGACGGACAAGCATGCATGTTGGAAGTTCTCGATACTGCCGGCCAAGAAGAGTACACAGCCCTTCGAGATCAATGGATACGAGACGGAGAAGGATTTGTTCTCGTCTACAGCATCTCATCACGATCTTCCTTTTCACGGATCAAGCGGTTTCATCATCAGATCCAGCGAGTCAAGGAGTCATGTGCATCCTCACCGTCATACCCAGGCTCGCCAATCTCTGCAGCCAGCCCACAAGCGCCCGTACCCATCATGTTGGTCGGCAACAAGAGCGACAGAGTCACTGAGAGGGAAGTTTCGACACAAGAAGGACACGCCTTGGCCCGCGAGCTTGGCTGCGAATTCGTCGAGGCCTCAGCCAAGAACTGCATAAATGTCGAGAAGGCCTTCTATGACGTTGTCAGAATATTGAGGAGGCAGCGACAGGCCGCCTCGAGGCCGCAGCCCGGCGGACGAAGCAGCACCCGACCCATCAACGGCGATGCTGGAGCGAGGTACGACGACAAGGAGGGTGGCGACCGCTATCGTCGCAAAGTAGGCAGAAGGGAAGGGAAGAGTAAATGTGTCGTTTTGTGAGCTCGCCCGCAACCTCGACTTGTTATTCCCCTCAACCCCCTTTATCGACGGACTTGTTCGGATCCATGGTAATAACCCCGATCCATTCGATTCGCAAATCCGACGGGCCTACTGCCGCGAGGCAAAAGCATTTTCCACGTCACGACTTGATGATTGCCAGCATTAGAGAAGCGCTGGCAAAGGCTTTCACAGCCACGACTACTGGACGTACGAGATCTCGAGTTCTGCTTTGAAGACGATTCGGACATTTTCCCCCTTGTCACGGATGAACAACCAGCTCCTCATTGGGCGAACGGCGCACGAAAAGAGAGAGGCATATTCTGGGGCGTAGGTTTCTTGAGATTCAATCAAACCTTTGGCAGACTGGGAGTTCATATTTTTTTGTTCATTCCAAACAACACATGAGGGCAAGCTGGCGGTGTTATAGGAGTCTTTCTTACAGACCTTTTTTTTGACGTCTAGTCGGTCGCAAAAGAAAATGATGCCATGTATCTGCACACTTCCACTCCCGGATTGTTCATATGTTTGTGGTTTGGATCACTCACATGGAACATTCATATCCGCGCACGCGAGCTGAGAAGGAGGTCTGCCTGGAGAAGGAGAGGCTGAAGGGCTGTGGCAGAAGGGAGGAAGCTCTAATCTGTGTATACCGAAACAATACTTGTTTTCCTAGCTGCAGCTTGCGGCTGGAAGTAGTCACTTTGGGGAGGTAGCCACAAGAAGGTATTGACTCTTTGCCGAACATAGTTAGATATCCGGGATAGGCCTACTTGTTCCTCGTTGAATCTACATTATCCGCCCATCTATCCTTGATTTTCCGATCGTCTTCCGCCCGATGCTTGATTTGCCGTAACGGCGCGCTTTACCGGAGAACTTAACCACAAGTGGTCGTTGCTATTGACGAAAGAGGGTTACTTGGTGAGAGAAAATCATGGACGTATCGGGGAAAGCTACGTCGTATCTCGGAAACTATGTCGCCTTTTTTTTCTTCGTGGAGAGACAGATACTTGGGGGAGAGAAAGTTGGAGAGAGGGTCTTGGAGGGGGAGCGGCGGAGGATCCATGAGGGAGGGTAAGGCAAGGTAGAATCTTAGAGAGGGACATCTCTGGGCGCGAGACGTGCGCGCATTGCCTGCCTTCTCTGCCCGCCGTACCCCGCGATTTCCGCTCCCTCGGGACTTTATTCTTGGATGAGGGGTGGGAAGGGGGTGCGGTTTGTAGTGAAGGCGGACTCTGTTTTTTTCACAACGGTTTTTTTGGACCTTCAGGGGCAGGCAAAAAGGTAAGGTCACGTAAGGTAGGGGTGGCAAAGAAGCCAAGAAGGATAGGAAGGGGGCATCTGCACTACGGCAGCACGTCCCGGCAATGAGGATGGGGGATGGTTAAGTGAAGCATGATGGAGAGAGAAAGAGAGAGAGAGAGACGGGTTTCAGGGAGTATGGAAATGCCGTTGAGGGACGGGCGTGACGGGGCCGTATATGTTCCGCCTTTTCTCAAAGACTATTGAGATTGGTGGTTTTCAAAAGACTACTTCGTACCTTTTTGCTTTTTGAGCCAAAGCCGGGCTCCCGGGGAGTTTGAATGGGGGCGGGGGGGGAGACGCACGAATTAGAGATAGTACCTTATTCAAGGGGAGCTTTGTACGTGTGTGTTGTGAATGTGTGTTTGGACGGCTTGGCGGCCTTTAGCTTCTCTCCGGGTTTCCATGGGCTGTATTGGGTGGTGTACTTTCCCTTTTCCATTGTCTAAAACCTCCTTTGAATCCTCTCACAGTGAGCATGGCGAAGAGGTGGGAAAGGGGGGGAGGGGGGGTACTCCGGCATGGACGGGCAACACGGAAAGGTTCAGGGTTTGGGGAAGGATTCGGGAAGAAGGGGGGACAAAGGATGCTATTCGTACCTTATTGGTGTCTGTCTTGTCGGGATAGGGAGGCATAGAATAGGCGAGAGGGAATTTTTTTTGGATCGGGGGGTTCTAGACCGATCCATGTTGAACTGCTTCGGTCTATTAGATTCTATCTCACGGTTTATCTATATTGGCAGGCGTGCTCCGCACCACGTACTACTCTCGCTGTTTATTCTCAGCTAGATTTTGAAGATTGATGATGAATCAAAAGGCGGGAGGGAATATGACGGAAAAACAAAAACGAGGAAAGAGTGACTTGATGATCCGTTTCGACTAACAGTTAGCTAATTCTTGGAAGAAGGGACGTCGTTTCATTTCTTTGCTTTTCCGCGAAGGGGATTCATAAGCAATGAGAGCAGGATTGAGAGAAAGAATGGGCTTTTGGGATGTAGCTTCGGACTTTGGGCCGTCTCCGCGAAGAGGGAAGGAACAGAAGAGTAAATAAACAAAATACAGCCACACTTGAGCTAGTCTTTGTGTCTCATTTGTTGACAAGACGGGCGGTGGTGATAATGGCATTGTCCCAACACGCCCGTCCCGGATGGGCATCTTTTTCCCCGGATGTTCCTATTTTCTTGGGGAGATGGGGAGGCGAGATATACCAGTAATAGATACCTGCTGGGTACGGGCACATGCTTTTTTCTGTTTCTGTTCTTGTTCACTGTGGCGTTTGCCGCACGTTTGTTTTTTCTGGCTTGAACGACCGAACGGTTCGTGTGGTGGGTGGGAGGTTGTCTTTGAAGGCGTGTTCTTGTATGGATGTCTATCTGCCTGTCGCGGGGGAATTCAAGACAAGTTGTTCAATTCAGGTGGGGTATGAGGTGTGTGTGCGCGCGTACGCATCCCCTCTCTTTTCGTTGCCGGCACACCTACACATAAAGACACACACACGGACAGACGGGCGGAACGGACGGACTGTCTTTTTTTATTTTGGTGGTCGATAGTGGCGCTCGCCGTTTGCTTGGCTTGTCTGTCAACCTACCTGACTACGTGCCGGGGAAGGGGTCCAGGTGCGGGAGGCTAAGGTAGTGTGAGTGTGTGAGTGAGTCTACCTACCTATATGTGTGTGAGAGTGTGGATGTGTGTGGTGGATGCCTCTTTTTTGGGAAACTAGCGACGAACGATGGGTTGGCGCTTTGCAGATGGGGTCCGTGGGAAGGGGTACTGTTTAGTATACGGTATACGGTAGAGCTCTCCCTCATTCTTCCTGTTAAGTATTCCTCCCAAGTCCTTCTCTCAGTAAGGCGTGGTTTATGCGACCCTGTTGCGGTTCACTCGCGGTTTGGATTTCCCGGGGTTCGCAAGAGAAAGGGCGTGTGAGTGGAGAGGGCGGATGGAGGCAGAGGGAAAGTTGGGAACCAACGGCAAGCGCCTTGGCCCCGATTAGCAAATCATCCATGGATGGGGGAAGTTTGGAGAATCGATGCCATCTGGGGTGAAAAGGCAAGAACCTCCAATGTAGCTGTCATTGGGTGATTGGAGTCGTGGTGGGTTGGAGACGGATAATCCGCCCTTTGGACATTCGGGCGAAGCTGCGAGGGCCGAGGTGTGCTTTGTGGGTTCCAACTACACAACATACCGTACCATCGAACGTGTGATGAGAAACAGGCCATGGCGGGTGAGTTTGAGGGTGTAGACTAGGCTTTTTCATGATGAGCGGGTCTATCCGCCGAGCTTCTTTCCTTTGTCTTCTGGGTGGTTTCGAAACCATGGTTTGACGATTCCGTGGAACAAGTCAAACCTCAACCATGTGAGGCTAGATGTCACGGGTCATGGGTTTCGAGAGAGCAATGAGCTTGGCTTTTCTCCTCTTCCTTTGACCGGTCACCGACCGGACTATGGGTAGATTACGGCGAGAGAAAAAAGCGTACCCTGACGTAAGGATGAGGGTGGTGATGAACATTGCATGTATGTATGAGCTAGTCGACGCGATTCCCTCGTCTCTAGCAGCACTACCTAAAACTATGCGTGGTGGCATGGGGAGGGGGCGTTTGCGAGCGGGAACGGGTTTGTCGATAAGCAACTCTCGGCGCAAAGTCTATTGCGAGATGGGATGATCATCTTTTTGCCCTACGAGCGTGTTCCAGTGACCAGTGTCTATATGTGCGTGATCCTGCCGGCCAGCATTTGGGTTTGCTCTTTTTTTGTGCTTTTTACCTTTTGACGATACGGCTTTCTTTCCCCGGCGTGGTGTCATCGTCCAGGGTATCAAATTCTCATGACAACCCACGTTCTCATCGGGCGCACTTGAGAGGTTGTGTACGATTTCCTCTCCTCTCCTCTACGTGTAAATGAAAAGCGCCCTAGATATCGGGGTCTGGCAGGGCTGTACTGTCTACATGCAACATATGATATGATGCCAAGTTTGCGTGATGCTTCGGTATTGATTCGGGCTATATGAAGTAACTTCAGAATTACTCGGGTGCAATTTGCTCGTCCAGTGTCTCTCTTACTGGTGCGCCGATCTTCACTCAGATAGGCGGGGCAAAAGACGTAGCCATGGACAGAGAGGCTCTGTGCGCGTTCTTTGAAAAAAAGAAGGGAAAAAAGCAGCCTCGGATGTTCTTCGACGCATGGTCAACGGCATTTGCTCGTGTCTTTTACGGGTTCTGGCTTTCAGAAGCCTCGGGTTCGAGCAAGAGAGCCAGTAAGCTGGACCTCTCATGTCGTTCGTTCCATCGCTCCACAATGACATTCCCAAGGGAGGGGAGGGGAGAGAGGTTGTTCTTCAACGACTAACGGATTCTTGCAGCGCGTTGCATGCATTGCAACCCTCCCCTCGTCCATATCGCAACCTCTTTTGCTTCAGTGCAGTGGCCAACAACACACTGTTCTGCATCTCTCACGCGCTAAGAAGCCCTCTCAAACTGGTACTGCAATACGTTCGTGCTACCTTACTTACTCATGGCGATGGTCGAAAGAGGGATTTCTTGTTCCCAGTTTTGCTGCATACACACTGCTGCAGGTCAGTGACCGCAGCTCCAAAACCCCTCATCGAACACGGGCCTCTCTACGGACCTTTCACCTCTCTCGCATTCTCTCACATACAACTTTCTCAGTCTCTCTATCCGTTTTGTATAAGCTATCCGTACGCAAAGGCCAGAAAGAAAGAGGGGAAAGGGCACATCACTGACCCATCCGCAAACTTCCCCTCCAGGGTCCCCCCCTCCCTCTTATGCCGGCACTGCTCAGGTAGGAGGAGGGGCATCACGGTGCTCCATGCAGAAAGAGGGCGTTTTGCTGGAGACGGTTTTGACAAGAAAAAAGGAGCCCCCCCCCTCTCTTCAAGTTACGCCGAGTGGAGCTCCAACATGACATATCTTTTTTGGACGGGCGCACGTACAAATACAGCGAGAAAGCCACAAAACACGACTCAAGGACCCTGCTGGAATTCTAGGTGGCCCAGGTTTGGATAGGGTAGAAGGGGATAACTGATCGTTCTGCTCTAGTTTCCACCACAACACACATTCTCTCTCCCTCTGTATGCACTGCCTTTCACCGAGGAAGGTGGTTTGGGCGTTCTCTTTTGACTAGGGACAGGCTTGAACATGCCGCGGATACACATGCTCACATACGAGGGGGGAAAAACTGACCACCCTGTCGTTATCCGTAATTGGAACATTTGAGAAACGGAGAGACACCGAGGCAGAGGACAGACGTCAAGAGAGTCCGAGCCCACGGAAAACGGGAGCTGGACCCGGCATCCAGTCCGTGCACCCGGAGGAGGGGCCGGGTACCATTCTGACAATTTGGGTCGTTGCTGATCTTCCCTCTTAGCACTGGTCGGTTCTTGTGGACCGGGGGGAGGGGAGGCTTCGAGCAGCAATTGGGGAGTAACGGGAGACGGGGACGGGGACGGGGACGGGAGAGGAGAAGAGAGTGAGAGCGACGGAAAGGCAGAGACGCATGTCGTCGTCGACTGTTGTTTTTCGTCCAACGGCGGCTTGTCCGTTTCCCTCCTCTCTTTTTTCCCTTTTCTTTCTGCCGTGCCGAGGAGGGGGTGGTGCTCCGTCGGGTAAATCGAACGGGAAGCAGTTTTTGGGCCGGTTGCGCCATTATCAGGATTGGGTTTGGGGTTTGGTTGACGTCGCCGCGAGGGCGATCCCCTTTTCCCCCCTCGGTGAGTTTCCCACCGAAGCAGAGGATTCGGGGTAATGGGGTGAGGTTCCCAGGTGAGTGATCGGTGAACTGGTCCGGTGATTGGCCCCCATCTTTGACGACCATGCTGGATTTCTCGCCGGTTCGCTTAGACGAAAGGGAAACCTCACAGGGGGGGGGGGGGGGGGGGGGATCAACTCTTGGTCCTTGAACCAACAACAACGCTGCTGTCTTGTCCTCTTCTTTCCTGTTCCCTCGCCTTAAGGCCTGTGACCTATTAGTCTGGTGGCCTAGGTCTTGGATTTCCAACTATTCCATTCCTCCGCAGAGTATCATTGAAGACTCTATGCCACCCACCACCCTCGTCTCGTCCCCTGAGCATTATCAGAAGCAAAAGTCGGCTTCTCTTCTTCCTGCAAGCCCTCTTGGCTGGCCGCCGGCCGCTTGTTGCTGGCCTGATAAGTCTTTTTCTTTCTCTCTACTTGTACTTGCGGCCCGACTCCGGGATCAGATAATGGGGTTGGGGGAAGAGCAGGGAAGACAGGAAGAAAGAAAAAAAAACACGAACCAGACCGGGATCCTGCATTATTGGCAGAAGATCCAAGAGCCAGACGTCCGGGTTACGTTTCACCGCATTTCGCTCCGAACGCATGATCTTCGGGAGACGTCGTTTCTCATGTTTCTCGTCCCCTTCTCTGCAGGACCGGGAATTTGTCGACATTGAAAGAAGTGTGTGTACGGAGTACGAAGTATTCGTACCCACACCGAGGGGACCCTTGAAGTTTGTATTGGAAGATGGGTAGCCACTCGATAGTGGCTGGGTTCCCCGTTCGACAAGGGGAAAATTCTCTTGAAGAGTTCCAGAGTTGTCACGTATCGGTGTGTTTGACTCTCGGGTTTTTGGTTGCGGATCAACAATGAACGGCATTCGTCTTGTTTGGATACAGAGCTGGTGGTAGATGAGTATCTCTCTCCCCTCTGGAGTTTGCGCTTCTAAACTGTCGGTTGTCAGCAGTTCAAGAGTCGCGCTCCCAATTGTCAGGCAAGAAGAACTGATGATCGGCATCTAGACCTTTAGACCGTTGCCTATTTCCTCTTTCCCCCAGTCACCCTACGACCTACCTATCGCCCAATTCGGTCCCTGTCACTGTTCATCTTGGACCCTAACGTGACTTAGTCCCAGCCGTCGGTATCGCACGCAATCTTTGCGTTGTTGTTTTTTTTTGCTCTCATCTTCTTGATCTTCCTTTCTTCCTTCTCGCGCATATTCCTTCGCGCGAGGGATGGAACGTTGTTTTGCGTCCTTTTTGGAAACATTGAAAGATGGTTCCCCCCTTCAAACTCCCCGATATGGCAGGTGCTTCGCAACCGCTTCGTCCTTACAGCTCTTCCCAAGTCCCCATAGGCAGCAGCAGCTACAACAAATCGGGAACCCTGGAACCGCTCTTTGGTCTTGTAGGGATTCCGAGTCAGGACCCTTGCCCGCTCAATGCGGCGCGACTTTCAATTCCTCAGTGGTGTGGTCCGTGTGGTGCGAACTTGCGAAGAAAGAGGGCCCGCGGAACGGGATGTGCATTCTCGCGGGTTCATGGTCAACCACCACCACCGAGTTATCGAAACTACCGGGACTTCTATCGTCTTCCCCCGTCCGCAAGAGGGATTGGGAGGGGGAGGGGATCATGGATGGAGCAAGGGGAGCGGCGGCGGCCCTTGCTAATGCTTGGCCCCATGCGTTCCTCTCTTACGGATCTCGGACGGTGCCTGCCAATCACCGCCCTCGGGGCTCAGCTCCGGCGACCAGCTATTACGCGGCTGGGCGATGGGATCAAACGGGAGGCCTGCCTGGCGTGAGAGAAAGGGAAAGCACGAACGTACGGCTGAGAACCTGGGACGGCTTTTCCCCGGGTCCGCCAAGTTTGTGTCCCTTGCGGCAGAGAAGGGGTGAACTGCTCCAAGATCTCCCTCTCCCCCGGCTCGTTGGAGTCGTTGGGTCTACTTGGCATGAACACCAAAGGACCGTCACTCATTACCCCATGTTTGTTGCTCTGCTGCCACTGCCGTTGCCCCAGGACTTGTCTTGCCCTTTCGGGTTCCCTTCTCCATCCCAAAGTTCCAGACATCTCTTGCTCTCTCTCCAATGGCTCCAACAGCCGGACCGGGAAACGTAACCGTCCGGCAGATATTGATCACATATCTGTTCCGGCGGGAGGGTGGAGTAGGTAGCCCAGGACAAACAATACCGACCCAGTGTCTGATGTTCTCCAAGGAACCAACGCGAGGTTGGGAATCGTCTCACTGCCCTGGGGAAAACGGCCAATCGCTCAAGGGTCTCGGTCTGCTAGGCTGAACTCAAAAGTTACGGCATAATCTTGCCTGTTTGGACTAGTTCGGGCTGTCGACGACGTCCATAGACGATGGCCAAGGTAGCGCAAGTCGAAGCAGGTCTCTTTTCAACTTGCTTTCTCGCCCTTCATCTAGATCTTTACGTGTTCTATCTCCCGCGACCTGCCTCACCGAGAGGACGGTCGCACCATGGGCGATCATCCCGCGTGGGGGCAACCGGGGGTGGAGGTTAACCGTCTCACGGGAATCCGGCTGGGTCCTGCTCGTGCGTGTATGTGTGTGTGTGTGCGTGGTAGCATGTAGAGGGGGAGGGTAGTGGCCAAGAGCCGTCGGGCAAGCCCGCCCGGTGGTGTGGCGCCTCGCCTCGAAACTGATGGAGCGGGTGATGCCGACGCGCGACGCGATGATGGAGGGAGTAGCGATTGCTGATATGCCCCCACGGCTCCGGATGTACCTTGAAAAAAGGTGAGACCGCTGGACGAGCGTTGTACGGGGCTTACACCGGTATTGAAAATGGGGAGATTCTAGATCTGGTCTACGCCGGAACGGGGAACGTTTGCCGACGCCGTGTCGTTCGGTCAGCGTTTATCTCCACTTCATCGCTTGAACGGCTGAGTCGTTGACGGTGGAATGAGGAATCTATGCTAGGCGGTAAGGAGCCTCTAAACGCGGATCCAGAGGCCGACAGGCGGGTATTGGCGGGAGTCTGTTTGATCGATCATGGATCACGGTCTAACAAGGTGAAAGTCTTGATGCCGAGGCGTATTAGTTGCCAATAAGTGAGCTCGAGCTCCTGCTCACCAGTCGGAACACTGCGTTACAGGGAGGTCATTAACAATGTTCTAATGTGATACAACCGTGATGCTTTGATCAGGCCCGCAGCGTCCTCAGCCTGTTGGGCTGGAGATATGCTTTGGCGCCAGTAGCTGCGGGCATTTTTCTAGATTCCGAGAAATACGAAGTTTCCATTGTCCTGTTATGATTGTAGGATGAAGGTTCGTGAAAATTTGGACACATAGACAGCCGTTCCGTGGCTCAGCTGAGGGATGAAGTCGGAGGACTGGGGAACCCGAATACATGATTTGTCGAGTCTTCCGAACTGGATATAGAACACGAAAAAGTTACCTTGGGCGCCTCATAATTTCATTGGACTTGGAAGCTTAACAGTAAAAGAGTCTGACTCAATGGCAAATTAATCTTGATTGAAGACCGCGTTATGGTTAGTCCAGTATTTTGAAATCCCATTGAACTTGTTTCCATTGCCCAAGATGTCCGGTGGTACGGATGAAGCTTCCCTCTGCTCGAATGAGAACCTAGTCAACCACCTCCATGATGGTGTAAGAGAGATCCAAACTTTGACGAAGGTATGCTCCAATATTTCTTTCGATCTCACCAGAGAGTACTCTTCAAGCACTCATGATATCTCTGGACCAAGCTTGATCAACTTTCGGTCATCTGGGCACTTGTATTATTGCTTCTCTGCATAGGCACCAATGGCAAGAAATGCTCCACGTGGCTTAGATAGATATGGCTCGGTTCACCAGTGACAGCACGGTCAATCACGTCTCCGCTCGTGCCGCTTCTGACAGCTTCCTATATCGTCTATTAGAAATTGTCCAACTTCGCCTAGTGGAAGGAACTACACGGCATCTTGAGAAACCCAGAAAAGATGTATCGAATGTGTAAATCCGTTCGCAAGACCAAAGTCATCGTCTGAGGGAAGCACACCTCGTAACACGGATGGAATCTGAGGCGATAATCTGATGTATGCGAATGCGATGACATCTACGGGGTCGTCGTTTCTTATGTCAAAGGACCATATAATCTATTTGTGCTAGCCTCATCTAGATAATCCTTCAACTCGCTCATGATGAAAGGATATGGGGAAAACTGTGCGTGGCAGGAAGCAAGTATAAGTCTCGGCATGTGCGCTTGCAAATGAATATACTCTGGTCTTGTGACTGCTTGTGACAACTGTCTGGTCTTAAAAGTACATACGGAAGCCATTGAATGCTGGATCTATGACCAAGCTTCTTTTACCATGTCTAAGCAACCACGTCATCCACGTCTTTCCATTCCGATGTCAGCTCTTGCATGTGCTATCAAACTGTCTATTTCTGGCCGCGATGCACACGCCGAGGTACAGTATCAAGGCCTAGGGTTATTAATTGTTAAAGAAATGCCCTGTTCGTAAAGAGCCAATGACGTGCTCCAGGATTCTTCTCGAGTCGTTTTTGTGCATGAAGTCTTCATTGGTTCTGGCAGTACCACTAATACAAGAGAGGGTAAATATGGAGTCACAACTTCAAAGATCAAGGAGTTCCAAGCACTGATATTCGCTTTTCTCCTCTGGATTTGTACACAACTTGAATACATCTACAAGCAGGACGGAAAGGTTGGAGTGAGTTGGGTAATTGATATACTCTGGTATAGAGGAAGACACATCTATGCTACGGTGACTCTTACGATTAGGCAATTGTCACCAAAGAGCAAGAGACGCCATCCGGAAACTTATCCACGTCGTGCTTTGAGAAACTGCTAGAACAAGATTCAGACGTTGAATATATAGTACCAAGAACATGGTTAATTCTCTGCTCAAGTCATCCAACCTCGAATCTTCTTCCGTTCTCGCGAAGTATCGGGTAGCGGTGGATATGAGAGAACTCAAGGTTAGGCTTGAAGGACATCGCCCAGAGCGGGCCAGTATGAAGTTCCATAAGGTGGTTTCAGATCCACGCGGTGACTACTTAAATGTACAAGGATCTTATTGCAATGCCTCTATTTCGATCCTTCTGCTCCTCCGTGACTTCACGTTATGCGATGTCAAGCAACCGATGCAGGAAAGACAAATCTTCTGGCGTCTCATGAAGTATTGATACCTCAGCCAACCCAGCCCCTCAGAGTCGGCTTGTAGATCAAAGTTACTGGTCTTGGGAGCGTGGACAGCTCGTTGCGTTTAACATGCCATGCGATCTGACCTCATCGCCGCATCACCTCCGGCTTTGAGAATGCCGGGGGACAGAGGGAAAGATCGCTACGCATGCTTCTTCACAGGAAGAATATGTGCCAACTTAAGTCAGAATGTAACACTGCGTCTTTATATGATGAGGAAGTCGGAGGGTGGGCATCATCACGCTGTCCAAGGTTCTTGGTGGGTGGTTTCGACTAAAATGGGGTTGACTGATGAATAAAGTAAGATTTACCAGGCCTTTTACTAACTGTCAATGCTTTCTGTGCCAACATTCTGGAGAACCTTTAACTCTCTTGAAGCTTGTCCAAGCATCCCGAGTGACTGAGCATGAGGCTTAGTCTAGTGTGTTTCCTTAACTCAATTAGGCCCTCATCTCATTTCGCCTTCAACTCCTTTGCCTCGAATTTAATTCGTACTTTACGCGACTTTAAGCATACCAGGCCCCGTTAATAAATGCATCTGATTTAGGAGACGCGAGTTTGAGATGTTTCCTAAGCGTCGTAGAACAGAAAATGCAGGTTTGTGGAGGAAGATTGCGACTGGTCTACGTAGCTGGTGTGGTGGTGGGGCGGCTAGGGTACTTATTTGCATTTTTAGTCCGTATCGACATGAATATCCGATATGGTGTAGTGGCCAACATGATGCCCTCTCATCTACGTGAGAGGTTAGGCATAGCCCCGAGTTCGATTCTCGGTTTCGGAATCTTTTGCTTTTTGCCCTTATCTTCCTTCCTTGTCAACATGACTTCCTTTTACTCAATTAGCACTTGGCGGGGCGCGCGAAGCGCATGCACGCCTCTGCAACCAGTTTGGAGTGTTTCTTTGAATATGTATGGCCAACCGAGGCCAGCCATCCTCACACCAGAAACAACTTAGTACCTCGTGGGTGGGTGGATGAACATCTCAACGCAATTATTGAAAGATGTACGTACAATAAATAATAGCGCTTCTTTGCACATAACGGAGCCTGAATGAGCCATATTCTCGGGGCAAAATTGTACTACTCAGTCGTTATGACTGGATCTAGATGGAGTCAGATGTGAACATCAAGGCTCTAGGAAAGCATTTCCCGGCCTGCATTTGTAGACCTAGTCCTGATCAATATCAAGAACCTCACTTGGTCATCAGATGGGCTTATACTTACTAGGTAGATAGAGCGGCAGACGGGATCATAAAACCTCGTTCTGTTCACTGCCTAGACTTCAAAACTCCCAACACCATCTCGGGCAATCGCATCCTTCCACACCGAAAGCTCGCGGCTGGCTTCCTCATAGCCTCGACCAAGTTCAAGTTAACTCAAGAGAGGGACCGCCCATTTCAAGATATCCCAAGATATCCCCATCTGAAATGTATCTCACACCCTAACGTAGGCCCTATAGCGATTTGACCCCAACCCCATTAACATTCCCCTTCTCTCGCCCCGTCAACTTGACCAGCTATAGACAAAGCCGAATCAGAAGCTCAACATCTCACGTTTCAAAAAAGATCAAAGGTGCAGACAAACGATACATACACACAAACGCCAATTTTCATAGACAGTTTGGAACTCAGCTCATCTACCTATCAAAAGGTAAATCTCCATCCTTAACTCGCGACCATGACCCCAGACCCATTTCTTCGGGACCAAAGACACATGAACATGGATGGCACCGTCTCCAATCTGCTGTCATCCCACAACCTCGTCATCTACCCAACCACCTACCGCCCCTAAACCACGAACATCGTACAGACTTCACATATCATGACAGACAGACACGCAGAGACCCAAAGCCGTCACCGCGAGCACCAGGCCCGACATTAGACAATTGCCAGAAAAAGACACATATCGCTTACATCCACATTCAAACTCACATCCCACCTGCCCACAATTACGCACACACGAGAGAGAGAGAGAGAGAGAGAGAGGGGCAAAAGTTGAATATGTGCAATAAAAACTGAACATTACCAATTCAAAGAGTTATGGTAGAAGAAGGGGTGGTGTTGGTTCCAAACGAGACAAGTCGT